CTTGCTGACTAATAGGCCCTGTCGTCGTCTTCGTCATTGGACTTTTTGACCGATATATCGGTTCTGACGTCTCCTGAGGGTTAATTAATAATCTTCATTTCATGGAGACACACTTAAACAACATTGTGCTTTATAGATAACACTGTATTTTAATTCATAATCATTATCGGATATTTGTATAGTTTTCGACACCGGAATCTATTTTGAAGGAGAGCAAAGAAAACTTCATTTCTAGAATAGTTTAAATATCATCTGTTGTTCAAATTATGATTTTTAATTGAATTTTATTTTACAGGGAAATTTAAAAATCTGAATCTCGAAAACTTTAATACTTTGGTTGGTTTTAGCGCTAAACGTGGTCTCTGCACAAGGTTTTATGAAATATTATATACCATAGACCAAACATTTGAGTAACAATGAGGATTTTGGAAAGAATACAACGAAAAGGACACTTTTAGTTAATGTTACGAAGAGAAAGCTGAACTTTCTGAGGGTTGAGAAACATTGATACTCACAGGAAAGATGTTAGAGTGACGGTGGAACGTAACGTATGACTTACCTATAGAGCTAGAGTGACCTATAGAGCAGACTAAGAAAGAGATGGCAAAAACAGACAACTGTTATTAAGAAATACAAATGGCGGGAAATTGTGGAGCACCGTGGTCGCAAAGGTTCTGAAGAAATGCGGCACATAGATAAAAAAAAGGGTACATATTCTCTAATTAAGTGTTTTCTTTGATGGAGAAAGCCAAGATTATGAGTTCCTGCTTGACAGATATGAAGCAACAAAGAAAACTAGATGTTATGTTTTAATCTCATTGTCACTTTTTCTTTTTCTGTATTTTTCATTCAATTTTACACTCTTTTTCATTCGTTTCATCATTTTATATATCTTTTTTGTCTATCAGTAGATTTTTTTCTCTCTCTCTCTCTTCCTGTTTTTATTTTTCTTTTACCGTCCTCTCTCTCTGACTCTATCTCGTTATGTTTTCACTTTCATTCGTTCTTTTTTCTTACTTACTACCTTTCGATTTCTCTCTCTTTGTCTCATTTTTTCGCTCTCCTTTGTACACTCCTTCACAGTATACGTGTATCGCGGCTTTCTCTCTCTCTTCCCTCTCTCCCCTTTCTCTCTCTCTCTCTCTCTCTATCTATCTATCTATCTATCTATTTTTGTGTCATGTTATTTCTTTATTTCTGTTTACCTATCATACTCTCTTTTCGTTTTCTAGTTCTTTCTTTCTTTCTTCCCTCATTCACTCTGTATATGACTGTATATGGCGGTTTCTCTGTATATATATATATATATATATATATATATATATATATATATATATATATATATATATATATATTATGGAATTGTATTCGTGATCAATCAAAACTCTTAAACAATTATATAGGCCACACTACAACATGTTTGACAAGAAGACTCACACTATATTTTTCTGACCATAGCTCAATTAGGTTTCATTTAAATACTCATGGAGACCTACCGGACCCTATTCGTAACATGCTTTTGGATAACACCAATATTATAGCATCATCTACATATAAAAAATAGACTAAAAATAATGAAAGCCGTATTAATAAAAACGAAAAAAACAACAACACTCCGTAATATCAACTATGATCATGGACATCAGATCTTGACCGTGTTTTCAAAATGAAACTTTCTATAAATACATATATAGAGCAATCTATTTCTTGTTAACAGTTAATATATTTCAACCTGGAAAATTGCTAAGTGTATAGCCAAATACGCTAAAAAACAATAATTGGACAGTTTTTATATAACTAATCTACGGAAAAGACAAAATCACATGAGAAATTGTATAGAAATCTTAAACAAAACACCTTGTCTTTTATATTCAATAAAACCTGAATGAAGAAAAATTAAAGCCTTAATACACAATATATATATATATATATATATATATATATATATATATATATATATATATATATATATATGACATTGTGGCGTTTTTTCTTCCCTTTATTTCTCCCTTACACTTGCACTTTATCTTTCTATCTCACACTTTCACGCATTCTCTTTAACTCTCCTTTCCATCTATCTTTCCCTCTTTGTTTCTCCATTTTCTCTCTGTTGAGGTTGCTCCCTGTTTTTCTGTCTTTCTTTTTCATTCTATCTAAATTTCTCATTCATTTTTCTGGTTATATCTTTCTCTCTATTTCAGTGTCTCTGTCTCTCTCTCTTTCTACCCCTCTTATTACATATTTTTCTCACATTTTCTGTGTATCTCACTTTCTGTCAATCCCAGTTTTGGTCTCTCTCTCTCTCTTTTTGTATTACGTTTTCGCTCTCTATTTTCTGTCTCTCTTTCTCTTTAACTCAATCTTTCCTTGTATCATTCTCTTTGACCCGGTTTTTCTGTTTATTTCTATTTCTCTTTCTTTCTATCACCCTTTCTCTATTTTCTTGTATCTCTTCTTCTATCTTTTTGTCTTATCTTCTTTCTCTCGCATTCCTCTATGAAAATATCTGCAATAAAGCAAATTCCACGGTTCAAAGAACAACGCTTGCATTCTTCCTGAGCGGTTTCTAACAGAGAAGAAAACTCAAAATGATAAGCTATAGACTTTGACGCCAATGACATATAGGTCCCTTCCACAGGTCAACAACGGTGTACCACCGCGTAATGATGTATATATATATATATATATATATATATTAGTAATTTTTTATTTTGTAAGGTAGCCGCCACTATGGCTGAAATTTTATTCGGCCTGAGTTTTAAGTGTCATCGGATCACAGTTCATGACAAGTGGCCTGGAATATTGCATCCAATCTGATGTTTTCCGTGGATTGAAAATCTATAGTGGAATTAGCATCTAGCTACCCGGGTTGGTTCTGGATATACAATACATCCGTTTAGTATTTTCCATTGAATCTGTCTAACCACCCCACTTATAACAGGGATGCCTACCAACTTAACTGAGATAGGAACAGCACCTATTATTGTTCCGAGCCCAATAAACGTAACATTTATACATTGATTTTAAAATATGAGAATTAAGATGTGTTAGTAACAAACATATTGTGTATTTCAAAAGTCCTTGTGCATAAATGAAGAATGTCTCGCCTGACACAAAGTAACACTTGGGCAATGACAGTTTTCTTGAGTGAATGCTGAACAATCTCACCACAAATGATGGAGAGACTTGAAGCAACATGAATGCGGCACTACAGAAATATAATGAGAATATCATGAACCGATCACGTGAGCGACGCCGAAGGTAAATGTAAATGGAAACAAAAAGGACACTTACAATTACCACTAGAATGTGGCAGTTGAAATTTCTAGGGTGCATAATACTTATCTAGCGAACTTATATATGGATAGCGGAACAGAATTAAGGAGAGATAAAAAGTGAAAATTTATTAACAGCTATAGAGGACCGGAAGACGTGGAAAGCCAGTATCACCAAGGACCTGAATGAACACAGGGTTGCACAATAAGATACACATATCTATCTATCTATCTATCTATCTATCTATCTATATATATATATATATATATATATATATATATATATATATTTATTTATTCGAAAATTATAAATAAATATGTTATAAAATCACTACAAAAATGGCCAGTTTTAAGACTTCTTGTGACTTATCTAGTGATGGTGTTGAATTTAGAATAAAGGGTTTATTCATTCAACATCATCACTTGATAAGACACCAGAAGTGTTGAAACAAAATGGCTATGTAGAGATTTTGTAATATATTTATGTTATAATTTTCGAATAAATAATTATAATTGCTCTATTCTTTTAAGAATAGTATTTTTGGTTATTGGTATTATTCCTTATACACCAATACTTATACTTATATATATATATATATATATATATATATATATATATATTGTTAACATTTTACAATATCTAGAAAAGAACAAATATTAGTTACTATAATTTGTAAGCTAGCTAGACAAGCTGAAATCACTAGTTGTCAAGTAAAAAAGGCATGATTTCAACTAGTTTTCGTGATTTTTCAAGCACCAAATTTTACTTATTGTGATTTTGATTAAGCTACCTAAACACGCTGAAAACTCTAGTTTACTATATAGGTAATAAACCTTTTATAGATGCCCACAGTTTGAAAGCAGGAATTTACACTGCATATTGTCAGTCAGTTCCACGACTCAATACTTTTAAGTTTCCAACCCTTATAACAAGGAAGACTGAACAGACGTGGTTCTTAAAGAGTCTGGAAGAAAATCTCTGAATTGAAAACCAATATCAGCTTTCCATGATCACCCACCTTGGATGTAAGGCAGACCAGGTTATCAAGCCGTTGTTGGCAGCCAGTCTAGGAGAAGGATAGTTCTGGAGATGAAAGCCATAACAACGGTCCATGATCACTAATGCTTAGAAATTAGAATGAGATGGCGCACACAATTATTAATAACTAGTTTCTTACAAGATGTTAAACGGATATTTAAAGACCTTGTATTTACAAAAGTGAAAATATGTTTGAAATCTTATATGGAAACGCATGCATGAGAGATTCGAATTACAATTTCATATTCCTGCAGTAAAATTGAACCGGTCAATTCATGACTTCCATAATCTTTGGAGACTAAGTGCTCGTCTTTATTCTACGTTGAACGTTGTTCCGAAAGGTTTACCGTTAAAATTTGACCCTATTCTTTTCAATAGTTCAAAGTTCTGCCAATAGAACCAGTAGCCGTAGGCATGAAACGATCACTATTCGTCGCTGAAGCATCCCGGTGTCTTTTAACTAATTTCGCCGTGTCATTAAAAAATTAAAATCTCTTAATAATTTAACAGATAAAATTTATTCATACCCTTTTTTAATGTTTGTTCTTGAGTATGATAAGTACATTCGGAATATTAAACAAAGCTATTTACATTATTCGGATAATTTTCCTCATCTTTCTTGCCATATATATCACAACGTTTCGGCCGTTGTACGTTCTGGGCTTCTTCAAATGGTTGGAATGTCGAACTGAACCCTTTATTTCGCTCACTGGGGTAGACTGTTCTAGTTCCACGTGTCATGTGTAATGGATGTCAATAATCAGATATCTTCTGTTAATTGGAGAGGGCAATTAACAGTAGATATCTGATTAACCAGGTATTGAACTTGGAGACGGGAAGTAAGAGGAGGTAACTGATAACTGACATCCGTTAAACATTGCACGTTGAACTAGAACAGTCTACCACACTGAGCGAAATAAATAGTTTAGTTCGAAATTCTGAAGAAGGCCGGAGCGTACAACGGCCGAAACGTTGTGATAAATCCAGCAACAAAGATGAGGACAATAGTCCGAATAATGTTAATAGTGTACATAATACCTCATCTGAGAAATATAGACAGATATTAAACATTAAGCGATTAACATTCTAATTGCCAATAAAAAAATTATGACACGTCCTTCACCCGAATAATAATGATGAGAAATTGTAATGCAGAAAAAGTCACACCCACAAACAGGCATAAGTAAATATATAGTTATTTATTGCTTGAATTGAAACAATTGCTGCACAAGGCTAATGGGGAGGTGGGGTAAGGCTGGACAACACTTTCTATCCTAGACCTAGCTAATCAGATTCACGAACCATGCATTCTTTACAATTTGCTCATTCTCCACAACTCTCCCGTCGCCATATACCACAATACTACAAATTCTCGGGGAACCTACAAAAAAAAAACCATGACATAAAAGTCTTTGAGTTTAATGATATATTTATTATTGTAAAAAGTACAATAAATGTAGCACATAGACGAAGGGGAAGTGGTGAATGGCTGGTCTTTGTTATCTGTACTTGTCCTAGTTAATCACAATCCCGATCCATTCATCCAATACAATTACCACAAGAACTCATCCATCACCATTCAATCCTTCATATCCACAATGCCACATCTTCAATGGGGACCTACAAAACAACCCATGACATTTTGTGCATAACATTATTATATTTTTTCTTTAACGTTAAAATAATCCATCCATTTTTCATGGTCATTCTTTGTCATTAAAAACTTATATCTAACTAATCAGATTCACGATTCATTACAACTTGCACATACATCACATACACAAATTTGGTCGATCGCCATTCAATCCTATATATACCACAATACTGCATGCACACATGGAACCTACAAAACACCCCCATGAGATATATATATTTATTGTTCCAATTGAAACAACTGTGGCACAAGGCCAATGGGGAAGTTGTGCAAGGCTGGTCAACATTTTCTATCCTAGACGTAGCTAATCAGATTCTGTTTTTCCTTTTTCTTACCAAAATATATAAAAAAAAATATGTGCTCATGAAATGCGACGTGTTTGAGAGAAGAAACCAGAAAATGAAAATCAAAAGAATACAAAAGGATTCGAGATTAAAACGAAACTGATGTTAGAAGGACCCAACCATATCACAAAAATAATAGGAGTGACCGCTTTATTCTGCCTTTGGGCAAAATTAAGAGGCACACTCACTAAAGGAAAGGGAAGGTAAAAAAAAAATATATAAATGAGGAGTGGAAAATATAAAGGCTGACTCGGTCGAGATTAAAAAAAAAATGGGGAAACAAAAACAAAGTGGAGAGATTGAGAATCTCAACATGGATCATAAGGAAAGAGAATGCTGTGGACAGTCCTGGAATATATACTCACATTAATTAGGTAAACAAAGAATTTCTACCATACCTAGGGTTGGGCTCACAGTTTCACAGTGGACTTAAAAAAAGAAAATTGAGACTGGCCTTATTCATTCGCGCCAAACTTGCCACATTTGCTCACCTTTTGCTAAATTCTGTCGAAGTAAATATATATACAGATTACGTTTTATAGATAGTAAACACTGTTTTTTACATGTTGCTTTGAAATCCCAATTTCAGTTTAATAGTGAATAATTTAATAAGGGATTAAATATTATCCTCTTGAGTGATATCTCTTTTTCTTTTTTTTTTACAATGTGCCGCTTCACTTTTGGGCGATCATGACTTTCCACATATTCCTGGTTTGTTATTTTACTGTTGCCCCTACTCCCTGTTCTGCCATCTATATACAAAAGCTTGTTATGTAGATTCCTAGCTACTTTCGTCTATTCATTTTCCCTGCGATTGTTATATTTTCAAGGATATTTTTTAAAATCATCGAGACTCAAGGGGTTACTGGGCGTGGAAGTGTTAGAAACAGGAACATTGCTAAGGAGTGAGAACACAGAAGAGGAATCAAGGGGAGAGCAGATAGTGATTGAGATTCAGTTAAGTTTTTGCAGATTAAAGCTGACTGAAAAACAGTGAGCCGGAAAAGAGTTAAACAAGAGAGTAGTACGAGAAAAGAAATTAATAGCATATAATTTACGGTTGCATCTATCCATCGCAACTCTGACATTGGTGAGACTTTATCGCCAGGTTTGTATTGCGCTTAAATTCGATAGCGAAGACCCCATCAAAACAATTACCATGAAATTCTTTGAAGAAAATGCGAAAAG